TGAGCATATGTGTGAAACAGCTCTGAGGAAAGACTCTGAACAGGACAATAGAACATGGAAAGGTTCTGCTAAGTCAGAATGGTTAAATCAGTATAGAAGGAAATTGGCCATATTTCCAAAAGCTGTCTATAGATTCAATGAGATCGCCATCCAAATCTCAATGGCATGCCTCACAATAACATAAAAAAAATCTTGAAATGTGTGAGAACAAAAAAGCAAAATGCACAAAAACCTGTTAAATGTCTTCAGCCTTCCCATCAAGGAAACGCAGATGAAAACTGTGCTGGACTCTGTCTCACCCCTGTCAAAACTACCACCAAGGAAAGAAAACTCCATGACCACTGGAGGGAATGTGGTGAAATGAGACACTTTGCTAACTGGGGGTGGGAATGCAGATGGGCACAGACAGTTGGAACTCACTTTTGAGAATCCTCAAATATGCACAAATGGACTACTGCATGCCTCTACTGTTCCCCAACTAACCTACTATGTGGGCACTCACACACCCTTGAGGAAGGCAGCCCTACTGCTACTCATCACAGGCAAGTTACCAAGTCAGCTAGTTAGCCAACTACATAATCATAGGTGGAACATTCTACTGAAGCACAAAGGAGTCTTGGTGTCCCATTAATAAGAATGAAATCTTGTCCTCTGCATGAAAAGGGGCAAAGCCAGAGATCAAGTTAAGCAAAAAGTCCAGCAAATACTGCATCTTATTAGTATCATATGTAGAATCCAGCAGGGAAACCAAGGGATGGGGCATACATGTAAAGGGGAGGTAATTATAAGAGAAGAAGACCAAAGGAAAGGAGGGGAGGGAGAGGAAAGTCAGTGGAATATCCCACGTGGCTAAAACATACACTGTGCCTGCATGAACATAGCACAAAGAAATGATTACTTTGTACAACAAATGTATGCTTATAAAAATATTTTTTGTTTCAAAAAGCAGGTTTTTATGGTGCTTCATGCTTGTAGTCCAGGCTTGAGCAGCGGAGACAAGAAGACCCCATCAAGCTTCATACCAGCCTGGACCACATAAAAAAAATCCAGGCTACCCTGGATTACGGAGTGAGACAATGTCTCAAAAACAAAAACCAACAAAAAAAAAGCAAGCAAAAACACAGAAAAACAAGACTATTGCCTTTATTTTTTTTTAATCATTTTTTATTTTAATTTTAAATAGCTTGTTTCACATGTCAATCCCAGTTCCCTCTCCCTCCCCTCCTCCCGCACTCCCCTTCCACCCACCCTCCCACCCTATTGCCAAATCCCTCCACATAGGGGATGTCTAGAGTCTATCATTTCACTCTTGGTAGGGTCAAGGCACTCCCCTAAGAGTCCAGGCTGAGAGAGCATCTCTCTTTGTGCCATAGGCACATGAAGATAGATTGTATACCAGGGATAGACACTGATCCACAGCTCAGAGCCCCATAGGTTGCCCAGGCCTTCTCACTGACACTCACATTTGGGGGGTCCAGATCAGTCCCATTCTGGCCTCCCCACTGTCGGTCTGGGGTCCAAGAGCACTCCCCTGTTCAGATCAGCCGTCTCTGCTGGTTTTGCCAGCCCATTCCTTGCCAATTTGCTCATCACTCCTCTCTCTCTGTCACTGGGTTCCTTGGGTTCAGTTCAGTGCTTAGTTGTGTGTTTGCCTCTGCTTCCATCAGTCCCAGGATGAAGGCTCCCGGATAGTTATAGACATCAAGTTCATTATCAGGAATGGGCATTCGAGGTGGTCCTTCCACTATTGCTTAGCTTGCCAATTGATGTTATACCTTTAGATCACTCGAGGTCACTCTGGTGCCTGATCTGTCTTCGATCCTATGATTCCCTCTTCCCCTATTTTACCCCCACCCCCTCAACTTCCTGTTCCCCCATGACCAACTCCCTTCCTCTTTACCCCCTCTACTCTTCCCAGGTCCCACTACCCCCCCTCGCCCTGTTCCCCATCCATTCAGAGGATCTTGTCTCCATCCTCTTCTCTTGGGTACTATGCATATATGCATATCTTTTAGGTTCTTTCCTGTTTCCCAGACTCTCTATCTGTGGAAGTGCAGACTGGCACTATCCTGATCCATATTTAAAATCCATATATGAGTGAGTACATACCATGTTTGTCTTTTTGCGACTGGGTTACCTCACTCAGGATGGTTTCTTCCAGTGCTATCCATTTCCCTGCGAATTTCAAGATTCCATTGTTTTTTTCTGCTGAGTAATACTCCATTGTGTAAATGTACCACATTTTCTCTATCCACTCTTCAGTTGAGGGGCATCTAGGTTGCTTCCAGGTTCTGGCTATTACAAACAATGCTGCTATGAACATAGTGGAGCAGATGCCCTTGTTGTATGAACCTGCCTCATTTGGATAAATGCCTAAGAGTGGAATTGCTGGGTCTAGTGGTAGATTAATTCCCATTTTCCTGAGGAATCTCCATACTGATTTCCAAAGAGGCTGTATGAGTCGGCATTCCCACCAGCAATGGAGGAGTGATCCTCTCTCTCCACATCCTCTCCAGCATAAATTGTCTTCGGTGTTTTTGATTCTAGCCATTCTGACAGGAGTAAGATGGTATCTCAGAGTTGTTTTGATTTGCATTTCCCTGATGGCTAAGGATGTTGAGCACTTTCTTAAGTGTCTCTTGGCCATTTTAGCCTCCTCTACTGAGAATTCTCTATTTAGCTCTGTACCCCACCTTTCAAGTGGATCCTTTGGTGTTTTGGAGACTTGTTTCTTGAGTTCTTTGTAAATTTTGGAGATTAGCCCTCTGTCAGATGTAGGGTTAGTGAATATCTTTTCCCATTCTGTGGCCTGCCTTTTTGTCTTTTTGATTGTGTCCTTTGCCTTACAAAAGCTTTTTAGTTTCAGAAGGTCCCATTTGTTAATTGTTGATCTCAGTGCCTGTGCCACTGGTGTTATGTTTAGGAAGTGGTCTCCTGTACCAACTCGTTGAAGAGTATCTCCCACTTTCTCTTCTAAAAGTTTCAGTGTGGCTGGATGTATGTTGAGATCTTTGATCCATTTGGACTTAAGTTTTGTACAAGGCGATAAACATGGATCTATCTGCAGTCTTCTGCATACCATTACCCAGTTATGCCAGCACCATTTGTTGAAGATGCTTTCTTTTTTCCACTGTACAGTTTTAGCTTCTTTGTCAAAAATCAGGTGTTCATAGGTGTGTGGGTTAAAATTAGGGCTTTCGATTCGGTTCCATTGGTCTACCTGCCTATTTTTGTGCCAATACCAAGCTGTTTTCAGGACTATAGCTCTATAATAGAGCTTGAAATCAGGTATGGTGATGCCTCCTGAAGTTCCTTTATTGTATAGGGATGTTTTGGCTATCCTGGGCCTTTTGTTTTTCCATATAAAGTTGATTAATGATCTTTCCAGGTCCTTGAAGAATTGTGATGGAATTTTGATAGGGATTGCATTGAATCTATAGACTGCTTTTGGCAAGATTGCCATTTTTATTATGTTGATCCTACCAATCCAAGAGCATGGGAGATCTTTCCATTTTCTGGTATCTTCTTTGATTTCTTTCTTCAAAGACACAAAGTTTTTGATATACAGGTCTTTCACTTCCTTGGTTAACATTATCCCCAGATATTTGATGCTGTTTTTGGCTATTGTAAAAGGTGATGTTTCTCTGATTTCTTTCTCAGTCACTTCATCATCTGTATATAATAGGGCCACTGATTTTTTTGAGTTTACCTTGTATCCTGCCACTTTGCTGAAGCTGTTTATCAGCTCTAGGAGTAACCTTGCGGAGTTTTTTGGGTCACATATGTAAACTATCATATCATCTGCAAATAATGAAAGCTTGACTTCTTCTTTTCCTATTTGTATCCCCTTTATCTCCTTTTGTTGTCTTATTGCTGTAGCTAGAACTTCAAGTACAATATTGAAGAGATATGGAGAGAGTGGACAGCCTTGTCTTGTTCCTGATTTTAGAGGAATTGCTTTGAGTTTCTCTCCATTTAGTTTGATGTTAGCTGTTGGTTTACTGTATATTGCTTTTATTATGTTCAGGTACGTTCCTGTTATCCCTGATCTCTCTAGGACCTTTATCATGAAGGGGTGCTGGATTTTGTCAAAGGCTTTTTCAGCATCTAGTGAGATGATCATGTGGTTTTTCTTTCGCAGATTGTTAATATGGTGGATTACATTGATAGATTTTCTAATGTTGAACCATCCCTGCATTCCTGGAATGAAGCCTACTTGATCATGGTGGATGATTTTTCTGATGTGTTCTTGAATCCGGTTTGCAAGTATTTTATTGAGTATTTTTGCATCAATGTTCATGAGGGAAATTGGTCTATAGTTCTCTTTCTTAGTTGTGTCTTTGTGTGGCTTGGGTATCAAGGTAATTGTAGCCTCGTAGAAAGAGTTTGGCAGTGAGCCTCCTGCTTCTATAGTGTGGAATACTTTGACGAGTATTGGAATGAGCTCTTCTTTGAATTTCTGGTATGCCTTTATTTTTTTGTTCTCAGCAATCCCCTGCCTTGAACCTTCTCTGATGGGCATTTAAATGCACACAGGAGTGACAACAGTCCTGGTGTCTCTGCTGCACTAGATGTAAATTGCAGGCTTTTGCATCCCTCTTGAGGGGATATCCCGGTGTTGTGAACCCCCTGCCCCCAAACCCCACTGCCACCTTCAACAGATAGCAGGGGAAGGGGGTGGGGTCTGAGACTGAATGGTGCGAATTTCCATGGCTGCTTTGATGTAACTGTTCTTGCAATCAAGGTATTGAACCCTCAGGACAGGTTTTAAGATTTCCTAGAGGGAGCTGATGTCTCCATAGGTACAAGAGAGACATGGGCTGCCTATTCTGCGGTCTTTCTCACATATCTAACACAAGTTTTTACAGCGGCTTTTAAAGCACACTTTACAAGAGTAAGTGCATTTTTACCATTTGACTTTGACAATAACAATAATTGACCCTCTTAGGAAGCTATCTCCTCCCATGTGTTGTGCTTATTGGATCAATGTTTCTTTTCAGCTACAAAGCATTTTCATTTTCCTGCTGGCTTACATATGCTGGGAAGAAGCTGTGCCAAGTGAAAAGCTGCAGATCCATGCCAGTCACAAAATCGTTCTTTCTTTTGGTCAACTGGAATGAAATGTAAGTTTAATCTTTATTCTGGCTGTGCTGGATAGCTTAGAAAAGTCAACCCTTCTTCCATTTTAAAAAGACCATGTTGTATGTGTGTGTAAGAGAGACAGAGATAGACAGACAGGCAGACAGACAGACAGACACACACACACACACACACACACACACACACACAGAGGAGAGAGACAGAGACACACACAGAGAGAGACAGAGAGTACACTTAGCCACTTGTCTGATGGGATGTTAAGTACCAAAGGGTCAGTAGATAATAGACTGTTCATTCAACAGACTTAAAGTCCATTGAAATTCCTAAACACCCATCTCATCCATATGACTGAATTGAGAAGCAGGGAAAATTATAAACAGGAGAGGCACAACTGTTCATTCACATGCTGGAGATCAGGAATATTTTGATTTTTATCAAGATGGCTGCAGCTAGGAAGAAAGAAATCACCTGATAACACGTGGTCTCACCTAAGTCAGTTTGTATATTGTTTAAATAATCAATTGGAGGGGATAAGCATTTATATGCTATGTGAATGTATTCATAATTGATTGGGGCGGAGACTGTTTCCTCCTCTAGTGATCATTTCTTAAACTCCATCCTCAAGTAAATGGTCTTTTTTAAGAGCCATTCACTTTTATTCTATGTGTGGGAGTGGTTGCCATGTGCATGCAATGCTTGTGGAGGCCAGGAGGGGGCACTGGATCCCCTCACATGGTTGTGAACCACCATAAGTGCTGAGAACTGAATCCCCAGCCTTTGCAAAAGCAGCAATTCTCATAACTGCTGTGTCATTATCTCCAGCCCCTTAGCTACCTTCTTGACACTATCCCTGTGCCCCATTCTGGCCCCCCACAACACAAGACCTCTTGCTCAAACTCTTGTAACCAAAGGCTCCTTTACAAGGTTATTAACCTGCCTACTTGATGCAAATATTCTTCCAATTTGACCAAAGCCCATTTCTGGTTATTTCCAAAAATCAAATACATTTTCCCCTCAAGAGAGGAAAAAGGTCTAATTATACAGTCAGCTTCACAGAAAAATGAGGAACTCATTAATAGCTTTGCAAATGGTATTGATGTGTTTATTTTCTTAAAACAGCTCATATACATACATACATTTATTCATACATACATACATGCATACATACATTCAGATCCTTGCATTCTTCCAATGGACTTAATATTTCAACCTACAATCATGTTACATTTTGCTTCCCTTAAACATATTTGCATTACATTTCCCAAGATTCCAAAAAGAGTTTTACATAATTTATTAGCATGTATTTGTTGCACTGGAGTTGAAAATACATTTCACTGCTAAACTTTAATGCTAAGCACCGAACTGTCTCTAACACAGAAGAAAAAAATTAATGAGAACTCATTTTTACTTTCTAAATGATTTCTTTTATTTTATGTACTTTAATGTATTTGTCTGAGTATATTCCTTATATGTGAGAGTGTCCATAGAGGCCAGAGGAGGCTGTCAGAACCCATGAAGCTGGAGTTGCAGGTAATTGGGAGTCACCTGGCTTGTGTGCTGGGAATTAAACTCTGATCCCCTGCTCTTAACTACTGAGTCAACTCTTTAAACCTTATTGCAGTATTTTATAAAGTATGTGCCTCGTTTCTCACTAAAATGTTCATTCTTTTGTTTTTAAGTAGTCATGGAGAAGTTTAAAAACAGAAACAATTTTCCAGTGAATGTGAATCCATATATATTCAGAAGATGAAAGGAGCACTATTTAGCATGCATGTACTCTTTTTCCTAGAATTGATTTTTATGGAAGTGAATGAATGGAGATTGGCAGCAACCATCAACTGTAATGTCTCTGTCTTTTTCATTCTTAATGTGAAAAGCTCATGCTATGTAGGAAAAACCAGTTCTTCGGAGGGAAAAGAACTTTCTAGGTTATGTGAAAAATGGAATAAGATTTCAACTTCCATTACAGAACAGAGAAATGGAATTGTAATAGAGTCAATTATAGATAAAAGAACATTCAAGAAAGTACTGCACCTTCTACATTATTGTCAACATTTTCTGTCAATTCAGAGATTCCTTTGAACTCAAAAACACTTGAATGAATATGGAAACTATGAAATAATGTAAATGAAAAATACACCAAAATATGTAATGTTTTAATAAGTCTGAATTTTGCTCATCTTTAAAAGTAGATTTCCAATGCTATTGTCTTTTGTCCCATCATGCTCCTCTGACTATACACGAGAATTGTACCTCCTTTATCCAAAAGGGAACACTTTTATGAGTCAAAAATCTCAACTACAGAGCAGTGAATACAAATTATTGTGTGGCTAACTGAAAAAGGAAAGAATGGGATGAAAAACTCACCCTACTATGTGCTACCCATTGTGTCATGCCTCAATAGTTTCATGGGTAATGAAAACTAAGGCTTAGGAAGGTCGAGTGAATCGCTGAATTAGAAGCATCTTATTAACCAGCATGACCAATTTTCAACACACAAACTTGCTAATCCCAAAGGGGGACTCAGATTGCCCATGTGCAGCTAATAGTTAACAGTTGCTGTTGACTTAGTATATAGCATCATTCACTGAAATTCCATTGCATTGCTTCAGTCCCAGAATCCTCTTCCCTGTTTCTATCAGTTAAATTACATGCTACATTACAGCGTAGAAACTAAAACTCACCATCGATTTCTTACCTTTCTAAGGTCAGTCAAATTTCTTTTATCCATTTTACCTTTCAAACACCTCATCTAGTCCTGTGACTGTGAGTTGCTCTGTTACCACCCTAGGTACTTCTTTATACACATGTGCTGCAAGTAAATGTAGTTTGGTGATGTCAACCAGTCTTGGGCATATTTTCCCATAGTACACCCTCCCCAATCTCTGCTCTCTCTGAGCAGGGGATACACTATTCTTCAGACCCAGCTAATGCTGCCTGCCAGTTCCACACACCACCCGCTGCCATCCAGCTCTCTAATTAACTCTTTGCCAGATGAGCAGTGTTTCATCGCTCTTGAACCCCACTCTTCCCCCAAACCCAGTGCCATCTAAGACCTGAGCTCAGAGCATCTCAACTGTAACGTATCCAGCAGCCATACATGTTGGTGTTTCTCTGATCATCTAACAAATTCCTGGGTCCTAGCTCATTCCAAATGTAAGGTAGTAAATAAGTCTTCATAATTTCATCCTTGTCTTTCGAGAGTTCTCTTTTGCTATTGGGGGAAAAGTTCAAACTGATATAATTGGTATTCAAAGTTCTTAAGAATTAAGGACAATATGTTCTCCTAATTCTGTCATCCTCTACTTATTTCAACTTGACTTGATCTTTTTTATAGCAGCCACTGTAAATGACTCACCAATTCTCAGGCACAGCTAATCATTTTTTTTCATACATGTCCTAGTCTATGTGTCGCATGACTTTTCCTGTAGAGATGGGACAGACATGTATTCACCCAGATAGGTAACTGAGTATATACCAAAACATAACTACCCAAATCTAGTTGGTGAGCTAATCAGCTTATAGGGCTAATTATAGGAACATAGGTCATTCAACAGGAGGCTTCTGTAAAGTCCACCCCAGAACTGAAAACTGACAATAAGGTAATCAGAAAAAAAAAACAAAACAATAAACAAAAACACACTTGTAAACTTGCAGAAGGATCTTGAGAATTTCATGACTTTTTCTTTCTTTTAATAAATTTTATTTAAAGTAGAAACAATCTTATTTTACATATCAATCCCAGTTCCCTCTCCCTCCCATCCTCCCATGCCCCCCACTGATTTTCCCATCTCATCCCCCATCCACTCCCCAGGGAGGGTGAGGCCTTCCATGAGGGATCATCAAAATCTGTCAAGTCATTTGGGACAGGGCCTAGGCCCTTCCCTGTGTGTCTAGGCTAAGAGAGTATCCTTCCAAGGGCAATGGGCTCCTGAAGTCTGTTCTTGCACTAGGAATACATCTTGATTCCACAGCCTGAGATCCAGACTGCCCAGTCCTCCTAGCTGACACCCACGTTCAGGGGCCCTGGTTTGGTCCTGTGTTGGTTGCCCAGCTGTCAGATTGAGGTCCATGAGTTCTCACTTGTTCAGGTCAGCTATTTCTGTGGGTTTTCCCAGTGTGGTCTTGATCCCTTTGTTTATAACTCCTCTGTCTCTACAACTGAATTCCAGGAGTTTAGTGCTCTGCTTCTGCTTCCATCAGCTACTGAATGAAGGCTCTAGGATGGTATTTAAGGTAGTCATCATTCTTATTATAGGGGAAGGGCATTTAAGGCAGCCTCTCCACTATTTCCTAGAATCCTAGTTGGTGTCATCCTTGTGGATTTCTGTACAATTTTCCAGTGCCAGATTTCTCTTTAAACCTACAATAGCTCCCTCTATTGATGTCTCTCTTTTCTTTTCTTGCTCTCTTCTATTTATCTCCCAACTCAATCTTCCTGATACCTCATGTTCTCCTCGCCCCTCCTCTTCTCCTCTCCTCTTTCTCCTATTTCCCTTCCCCTTTTCCCCATGCTCCCAATTTGTTGGGGAGCTATTGTACTTTTCCTCTTCACCATGGGACCACGTATGTCTGTGTCTCTTCCAGTCCTCTTTGTTTTCTTGCTTCTCTGGTGGTGTGGACTGTATGCTGGTAATCCTTTGCTCTATGTCTAATATCTATATATGAGTGAGTACATACCATGTTTGTCTTTCTGTGACTGGGTTACCTCACTTAGGATGGTTTCTTCTAGTTCCATCCATTTGCCTGTGACTTTCAAGATTTCATTGATTTGGATTTTTTCTGCTGAGTAGTATTCCATTGGTTAAATTTACCATATTTTCTTTATCCATTATTTTTTTGAGGGTCATCTAGGTTGCTTCCAGATTCTGGCCATTACAAATAATGCTGCTATTAGTATATCTGAATAGATGTCCCTGTGATATGAATGTGTGTCCTTTGGATATATGCCTAAGAGTGGAATTGCTGGATCTTGAGGTAGACTGATTCCCATTTTCCTGAAAAACCTCCATACAGATTTCCTAAGCAGTTGTACAAGTTTGCACTCGCACCAGCAATAGAGGACCATTCCCCTTTCTCCACATCCTCTCCAGCATAAACTTTCCTTTGTATTTTTACTTTTTGTCATTCTGAAAGGAGTAAGATGGTATCTCAGAGTTGTTTGATTTACATTTCCCTTTTTGATTCATGATGATGGTAAAGCGAGTCATGCCAAGGATACCAGAAAAAAGGGGTAGTTTTGTACTTTATTTGAGAGAGAGGTCACTTACATGAGAAGTTGCTGCCCCAAGAGAGCGTGCACCTCCTTTCCCCAAGCTTTTAAACCCTGTCCAAGATACCAGAAAATGGAAAAATCTCCCATGCTCTTTGATAAGTAGGATCAACATAGTAAAAAAATGACTTTTTCTTAAACTTCAAACTTCCTGAGCTTGCTAAGCTTGATTTCATTAGCTTCCTGAGCCTTAATGAGTCTCTCTCCTGCTGTAGGAGGAAATATTTTAATTCAGAAGAATCCTCTTCTCTTTCCATGCTGTGTGTTACATACTTTTTCCTTGTTGCAATATATTTTTCTCTTCTTGGAATGGTTTTCTGAAACCCCATCTCATTGTAGTCCAGCCTGAAAGAGTCATGTTTCTTGGTCTGCCAAGATGGTTCAGCAGTTAAGTGCATTTTCTACTTGTCTTAATGACTTGAGTTTGATCCCCAGAAACCATATGGTAGAAGGAGAGAACGCCAACAAGTTTTCTCCTGATCTTACATACAAGCCTTGCCATCACCACTACCACACTTGCATACATACACACACACACACACACACCAATCAAGATTCACTTTTACTTATTACTCCCTCAGATAAATTTAACCAGTCTTTCCTATGTGCTCACAATACTGTATAAGAGTCAGGTTATGCTATATTTAAATGACTCTACATGTCAAAACTATAAGGAGTAAAATTATTACTTATAGAGTATCATTATCTTACATATTTCATTAAAATTTTCAAGGAGACATCTCAATTCAAATACTCAAATGTTTTTTTCACAAATAATTACAAGAAAATGTTTGTAAAATCAAGCTTATAATTGGATACTTCCTTTGCTTTTCAGAATCAATTTTCCTCTTGAGATAAAGTCACTTCCAAGAGAATCCATGCTCATTATAAAAGTGTTTGGGATTGATTCTGCCACCCACAGTGCAAATCTGCTGGCCTGGACCTGCCTTCCACTGTTCCCAAAAGAGTAAGTATATCATCCGTGATTAACAGAGCTCTGGTTCCAATTCAACCTTCCGGGAATTGAATGTTCTTCAGGTTACGGCATAATGAGAAAAATCAAGAGGACATTTTATACTGAAACGAGGTAGTTCAATATAAATCATGAGTATTGAAATTAGAACAGAAGAGCAAAAACGGAGAGCTGGCTGTGGCAGCAGCACATGCTCTGGTCATCAGGGGGTCATTTACAATGGAGAGGTGCTGGCAAGACCAGTCTCAAGGACTCTTTCTTCTTCAAGCAGCCAGCTTCTCTGGAATTAGTAATCCAAAATGACTGTGCTGTCATTTAGGGGGAAAAAACGCCACAAAATTCTGACTAAAGTAAAACTATAAAACAAAACTATTTGCTGGTCTCTTGTTGCCAAGAAGAAATACTTGGCAACTTCCAAAAAAAAAAAAAGCACAGAACTGAGTTCAGATATTCTCCCAGAATTAACAACCTTTGAAAAGTCAACTGATTATTTAACCAAAAATTCTTGAGAATTATTCATATTTAGAAGGTAAAATAAAGTCAACTACTGATTGCCTATGCTTTTAAGGGTACATATCTCCAGAAGAATTGATGCACTTATTTTTTTTAACACAAGAAACAGGCTTTAAGTGCAGGTGACAAAATCAGGAACCTTCAAAAATCAGAACTCACATTGTCATGCTACTGTTAATATAAGGCACATTTCTACACATATTGTTTTGGAAACACTTGCTGTTATGGAAGTGTGCAAAGTATTCCTTTTTTGGGTTTCAGTTCCATCATTCAGCCACTGTAGATAAATTTTATCAAACGAACTAGATCCAGCTTTAAAAATTCATTGAATTATTTCAGATCTGAACCTTGTGCATGTGCATCTGTTTGTGCGTATATGTATGTGCATAATGTGTGTGTAAATTGTGTGTTTGTGTCTCTCTGTATGTATGTCTCTATGTATATACGTATGTGTGTCTCTCTGTATACACATGTGAGTTTGTGCGTCTTACATTTATGTCCTGTGTATAAGTTCATGTGTCTCTGTGTATGTACACGACTATGGCTTGGTTTGGGTTTTGATGTCTTAGTCTGTCTCTATGTATGTATTGAAGACAGGAAATACATTCACCTCTGTAATGTCTGCCATCTTACATTATGCATTGTATAAATAGGCAATCAATAGTGGTTAGTTTACTGAAAAAAAATCAATCCCTGCAAGTATGTTTTAACATTCTGCGAAAACACAGGTTAGCTCAAGGAGGAATATCTGCTGTTGTTAGGAGACATTTCAAATATCTGACCTGAGCACTTAAAGCATTCACAACTGTCTGTAAGAGCCACCACACAGGTGTCCTTCCACTTGTGAGAGGGTTTCATTGCAATTTCCCCTGCAGAATTTCAGATGTAACATTTTCAGCATTTTTGTGAAGTCACATTTCCAGTTATTAACTGAAAAGAGCATCTGCTGCATTTGGTTCTCTTCACCAGCCTGCCACATACAGGGATGCCAGGATAAATGTTGGCTCTGTGTGGACACGCATCACTTACATCTGTTTTCAGGGAATGGTCTTCTAGTGTGGGAGACTGTGGGAAGCAATTATGTGGGACTGATCCAAGGTGATGATTTCACAAGGAAAAGTATGTAAGGTAGTGACGATGAAGCATCTAGAAACACAATAGACTTCTATGATTATTTCAACAAGCATTTGCAAATATATTCCCAGTAGACCGTTTCTCATCAAAACCAGAAAAAAGTCTCCATCTCTCCTGGGATAAACAATGGAAAGAAATCCAGTGTTCTAAGACATCAGAAATCAATCAGGTGTGGCTGCTGAGACACAGCCACGAATTCCATTTTGCACCTCACTACAATTTGCAGAGATTCTAATTCAATCTATTCCCTGTAGATATTTACAGATCACAGAAAAGTAGTATCTTGCTTTAATTTCCACTCACAGGATGACCCTTGCCCATAAACATTTGATATTGAACCTCTTTTTATAGTTTGAATTGCCCCTCACCAACTGTGTGCAGCTGTAATGACCACTTATATTGATATTTTTCCCAACATAGGCATGACCTCAGAAGAGCTTCCATTCTTTCTCTTCAGGGTCTCCACAAGTGAGCTTTTGAAAATCCAACAGTGATTAAGCTCGTATATACCTATGAGGGATGCATTAGTTAATGTCTACACGTAAAAACAGGCTTTGACGTTTGCAAGCATCAAAACCACTCACCTTCAGTTTTGTAAAGAAAAATATCTGAAGTCCAAAGGAAACATTGGGTGGGCACAATCATTTAGCCTTCTTTTGCAGACAAGATTGCCCCTGTATCTATACTCACAGTGGGTGAGTGCCTGCCCACTGCAGCAAGGACAGGTTTCTTGCAGTACAATCATGTCCAAGAGTTCCAATTCCAACTTAAGTTCTCAATTAAACAGTGTAATTGCTACTTAGCAATGTTTTTGTAGAAGCTTCTTTGCCAAACTGATTTTCTACCTTGGCCGAACAATAGCATTTTCTTGAGTGTTACAATAGAAACCCAAATCCCAGGTATCCCCCAAAGATTCTAAGTCAGTTTTTTTTTGTTTATTTTGTTTTATTTTTGAGAGAAACAATATTTTCAAGTCTACTGTGGTGAGTTAAAGTCTTAAAAATAAAAATATTTTGCAAAATTTCAAACATGACCCAAAATCAGTCTTAATCTCCAAACAATATTATTCCCCAGGCAATTGCCTGAGCTGTTAATGCCGACCTCCTCATTTGAACTGTGTTTTGGAACTAAATAGTAAGCAGTAGTTGTGCCGTCAAGCTCATTGGTTTTCTTCTGGTCCACACGAGGCGCTTAGTCCATTTGCCACACTCGGGACTAGGATCTGTGGAATGGTGGTCTGACGTAAATCATCAAGCAATTTAAAAATAGAACAAAACCAGAATCCAGGACTGAGTCCTTGCCTTAGCTTTTTTCTGTCTTTAACTACCTACCTTCCTGCTTTGAGATGCCACACCCTCCTTCACAAACATACTGTAAAAATGTCCTCACTTTACACAGGCTCTGACCTCAGCATCACAAGGGCTCTCCTTTTAACTATGAACCCAAGAGCTATTAGGCTCTCAAAAGATTTCATCGCATCATGTCCTCTGGTTCTTCTGGTCTCCCAGTGACTTAATCCTCTGTGTATTCTGGTTCTAGATACTAGGAAGTGATGCAAGGACTCCTGATAATTAAACTCAATAATCATTATTTTGTTGCAGGGTGATAGAATCATAATCCAGTTTGTCTTTCTCAATGCAGAAAATTTGGGGTTGAAGTTTTTAATCACTGAACTGATCGAGTTTAAAAGACCTTAAGTCTATGCCAGAACAAATATCACCAAACACCATGAACAAAAGTGGAGTCTAATTTCTAAACACACCATTTCTTTAAAAGACCTCAAAGCATAGGAGTAATGGATACTGCTGGTATGCTCTGTAGCGGGAGTTAGGGGCCAGGTGGCCAGGTCCCCCTGAAAGACTCCTCCACCTCTAGAAGAGCCACAACATGGTGGGAATATTTGAAAAGCGTTGATTTTGTCCAATAAATTCCAGGAAACTTAATAAAGGCTGGCAGATTCGGGCAAGCTCCAGAAATCCTAATACAAAGTATAATGTATGTAGACTGCCTTTGTGACATTTTTTTGTTTTGTTTTACTTTGTTTTTTGTGTGTGCATTACAGAGTAACAAATATTTTCATGTTGGTATCTTATTATATTTTATTTTATACATATGGATATTTTGCATGCGTCCATGTCTGTGTACCCCTTGAGTACCTGGGCCCCATAGATCCCAGAAAGGGGTATTGACGTCCCTTAGAACTGGAGTTACAGATGGATATGAAAAAAATTTTTAAAAACCAGATTTTTTTCCAAATGGACCAATGTAACAACATACTCAGTGACTAGTCAGGTCTAATTCCTAGTGCTCTCATGGTAATTGGAATTCAAAGGAAAGACCCCCACACACACTCACTGTCTCCTGAAGCCACCAATACTCTCAGCTCTGTTTTTTATTCCTCACTGCTACTGATCATCTTCCTGGCACGTTATTTATTCCAAAGTCTATAGATGCCCTGCTTGTCTTCCCTGGTACAGTCTATGAAAATAATCTCCCCAGAGCTAAGCAAAGCAATCACCTCCAAAACTATGCTACACATTTGTTTTCTTAAACCCTCAAATGGCCTTAAGTTTGTATACCATTATCCCCCACTGTCCATCTGCAACTTCATATTCTTTACACCCTCTTTCCTGAGCCCTGCATGCCCCTCTCCTACAGCAAGCATTCTGACTTCATTCTGCATCCTGTGCCAGAGAGTAGACGCTTGGGAGACTCTTACAATGCAATCCAGCTAAGGGCAGAAAGAACAGGCATCGCTGGGTAGATAGAAACAAGCTCAGATACATCACATTTGTTTTGCTTCAAATGTAGCCAAGACATAACAATACAGTAAAAATCACAAATAAAACACATTCTGAAAACAGGTGTAAAAATACAACTAACTTCTCATGAGCTCCACCTGCAATTAATGAGGGCAAAAAACCCTCTGCTTACAGTCAAGTACTGACTGGTTGAAATATGAAATATCTTTTGGACAAAAATGCCTAGTCACTTAGATAGCTTTCTTATACTCTGCCTGTCTTCCTAAGGAGATGAAAATGCAAACAGGTTAGTCAGGAAAGGAAAAAAACTGCAAAGATCCTGTGGCATCCTAGCTCTGGCCCCTAGCCCACAGCCACCTTCAAAGCTAGTAGCTACTTGTTCTATCAGATGCTGGTGGCTAGTGCAGCACCTAAGGATCTCCCGGTGGAGCCGGGGGTACTGGATTGGCCTGAGTTGGGTTATCTCAGCCGCCACAGAACCATCTGAGGTTCTCTGACACTTCCTAGTAGACCCTGAATTGGGTGGTACCAAAAATGATTTATCTTAAGCTTACATTTACTTTTGTTAATTAACCCATTTTCTAGTTTGGTATACTGAAATCAAAGACCATTCTTAGTTAACAGTTGGAATGTGGCACCAATATTCTGGTTTGTGCACAGGTACCACTTAATTCATTTGTACAAAGACCTGTGGATTTAGATGCTATTGCAGTTATTTGAAGCTTTTGTGGATTTCCCCCTGGTTAAAGCCATTTCCTGTGTGCTCTCTCATTTACTATGATAATTTACAACCGATTTTTAAGGATTCTGAACATGAATCTATTTATATATAAAGGAACATTTCCCTTGTGAAGTCCTACAACTATTTTGATTCTGCAGCTCATATGCTGTGCTAATTTAAATCTTGTCTTGCTATAAATTTAGAATCTTTAAATGCCCAAGAAATTTAGTTACTCTGTGGAGAGGGAAGAAAAAACCCTCTGAGGAGCTACTGTCCTTCCAAAGTTCAGGCACCAGTAAGTCCAGAGTGCAAATCTAAGATACCTAATTCCACTTAGTCATCACCACTGATGGCAGTCACTGATATGTGCCCCTGCTAGGAACGACTGTAAAAATAGCCACACATGGGGAAAAATGCGGTGTCTATGGAAACACCCTTGTATTTGACATGTTAGCAGTGAGCTCTTAATCAGTGTCTGGACTTGTGGGATATTTTATTTCTCTTCTAGCTACTGAATGAAGTCACAAAAATAGCTGCTGCTTTCCATCCCAGAATAAGCATGTGCAGACATGCATAGCTTTCCTCTTAATGTGACTCCTATCTGTATGTCTGTGCTATGTTTTGCAGAAAGTCTATGTTGGGGTCTAGGCTATTCAGCATGACATTCCAGAGTGAGCTTCCCATAGAAATGATAGCTCCTGGAGTATGGGATGGGAGCCAGCCTTCCCCACTGACCCTACAGGTAAGTGTCAAGCTATGAGATTAAAGTACACACAGAAAATGCAGGTTGTTAAGCAATGTGGTGGCCAGTTACAGAAACACTTTCTTCCAGGGTCACACATTATACTTGTTCCCTTCCTCCAGCCTAGTTCTGGTATCTTCTGTATCATTTGTTGTATGCCCAGCAATCTCCAAGCAGCTTTCCTGTCAGCTTACATAACAGCAACTCAATGCATCTCTTCATAATCCTGAAGGATGGCAGAGAAGTCTTACTATCAACACTCTCCTTAAATGTGTCCAATTCTTTCTATTGTCCAAGAAAGTAATTATTATATATTATTAACCCAGTACCTTACAGCTACGTTTGCATTGCCAAACGTCACTAAAATATCTTCTAGTGAATCTTTCTTCAATGACTGGATTGAAAGAGAATAATAGTAAACAAAATCCATTTTTGTACCTTTTTGTCTTAGAACATCTCTACTCTCTGTGATTTGTGATGGTGAAGGGAAAGTGTTCAACGATTCCAGCTTTGGTTCACACTTCCAGTGGCACCTCATTGGTTCATGTCTGGGCTCCATCTGGCCATATTGACTAGAGATCAGCAACATAGACACAGTACTATGTAGAGATTTGGGGGCATGGAGTTTCCATCTCTATGGAAGTTGGGTGGCATCCTCCAGAACACATCGTGGTAGCATTTTGGACTGGGTGCTTCTCTGTGGTCCCATCTCTGTGCATGGTAGGATGCTGAGCAGCATCGCTGGTTTCTGTCCAGTAGAACTATCCACTCACCAGTTCTGGACGTCGATAATGCCTCCCGATGTTGTCAAATGTACTCTGGGAACAAAATTGCCTTCTACTTATCACCATGTTGGAGATGACACTCACAGAGTTCTAGCTCACAAGTGTGGAGTTAAGGGGGTGTAAGGGATAGAGTTTGGGGATAGCACACAAAGATGTTGAAGATAGAAAAGAATAAATTCTATAAAAATATGACTTCACTTTAGGGCAGAGAAAGCCCTTCCAGGAACCACTGAGTAACATTTTTAGCACCAGCTTGATGCCAAGAAATAGGTGAGTCAGTGTAGACCTAGGTGTGTCAGGTCTAGATGAGGACTGATTGGCATGTGCTGTGTTGTAAAAGGACATAAAGAGACATTTCAATCCAGTATGGAAATCTACCGTGAACCTCATAAATATTCTCATGCTTAGCCAGTAGGAATTAGCATACTTTAGTTTTAAAGTGCCCTTTCATTTTGATAAAGTAAATAGCTGTTTCTGAAAAACCAGTATTACCAGTATTGATATCTATAAAGGTCCTAATTTAAGAATCCAAAGCACCATGTCAGGCATTCTGCTATATTCCAGAGTAACAAATTGATTGGAGATAGAATTTTAGGGGCTGACTCTGCTGGAAAGTGCTTGTATGAGAACTGACATTCCTTACCAGAACCTGTGTGGAAAAAATGGCTGACTCCGTATCATAAGCTTGCAATCTAGAGTGCTGGGGCAGTGAGAAGATAGATCCTTGGGACTTCAGTGGCCAATCTGTCTGACTAAATTAGCGAATTCCAGGCTAGTGGCAGACCTACTCTCAAAATAACTGCTGGGTAGTGTCTGAGAAATGACACATGAGCTTGTCTGCCACCATCCACATGCATACACACGTGAACACTCACATGCATGAACCCACACAGCCAAGATTAGGAGATGGTAAAAAAAAATTAAAAGCAGGCCCTAGAACCAGAGTTATGTCAGGGGATAGGTACAGGTCAGAGGGAAAGACATCAGGCCAGCAGGGGGGAAATGCAGATCATAGTCTCAGCTCTCCAACAGAAAATATTAAGACATTAATTAAGTCTTTAGCCTCCCGTTTTCGCCTCTGTGCATTCAAAGAATGTCCACCGTCAGGCCTTCCTTTCTGGTTGTCCTTACAATGTGAATGGTAAATGCCACAGGGCAGCCACTCAACTCTGACAGGGGTGTAATGAGTCACAGGGAATTAAACTTGTCAGATTCCAAGACTGGTGGTGTGAGCCCAAGCCGCAGACGAAGGGAAGTGGGTGCTAACTCAGAGTGGGAATGGACCTGCAGATCACTGCTTGACTTTCCCTGGCCTCCTCATCTTCCGCTCGCACTTGCACGTGATTCATTTGAATGACTCTACCAGGGTTGTGCACATGTGCAGGAGCGTATGTGTTCTCATGCATGCAAAGTCCAGGGGTCAACCTGGGACCTCGTTTCTCAGAAACCACTCACTATGATTTTTGAGATATGGTTTCTCACTGCCCTGGACCTCACCGTTGGGCTAGGCTGGCTGGTCTGTGTGCACCCCTGCTCCTGAGAGCTGCCTGTCTCTGTCTCCTTGACCACGCCAAGCACACACACCACATTCTGAGAGAAAACGTGTTTGCCTTCCTGAGACTGACTTACTTAGCTTAGTGTGAGCATCTCGAGTTTCACCCATCTTCCTGAGAAGGATGCATTGTACTTATGCCTCATTGAGTACTACAGCTCTTCTTGGCGGCTAAACTAGCAAACCAGCACAGTGCTAACATTCAAGTTCTCCTCACTTTATACCAAACACCTGAAAGGTAATGTGTAGAAAGAAAAAAGATCTTGAAATCCCAGGGAGGAGAAACGTATTCAGCTTCAGGGAAAGTTCATAGATTGTTGTTCTTATGCCACAATACCACAGGTAACTAATCTAGCCAATGTGTGCTGAATTCTTAAACACCAACTCAAAGCTCTAATGATTCTTTTAAAAATTATGTTAAAACAATGAAAAGCACAAAAGTAGAAATTGCTGTTTTCTTTCGTTTCTACAAAACTCAAGTAAAGACTATGAAATTATAAATGCACATGCATACTATGCTTAGTCCATGGAAAAATCGCTTCTTTGTTTCAGATAGATTTTCCAGCTGCCGGGTGGGAGTACATTAAACCCGATTCTGAGGAGAACAGAACTGACATTGAAGAACCACCCAGAGAGTGTCTAAAACACATCGCCAGACTTTCTCAGAAGCAGACTCCCTTGCTGTGAGTGTCTCTGTTCTCTTGCTCCGATCAGCCGTATCTCCTGAGAGTGCTCCTGCGGTTCCGTGTAGTCCTCTCATCCTGAAGTCATGGATGCTAGACAGTCAGCTAGTGTGTACAAACCAAAGTGGTTTTGCCTCACCTACAAAGATGTTTGACAGGTTTTAGCAACTTTACCTTTAGGTTAAGGGACAGTATGATATGAGAAATAATTCAATTCAAAGTACTAAAGGCAGACTGATTAGATGGACAGCATCACATCTCATAGAAAAACATTGCTCAGCTATCATTAAATAAGTTCTAGGAAGCTGTTTTATAAAGCAGAGTAATTGGAATTTAATTATCATGGCAGCTTTTTAAAAGAACAGAAATATATCATCTCTAATAAACACTAAGTCAGCTAGTAAGGAATTTTTTATATCGGGTTACCAGTTATTCTCAAAAATAAGGCAAAAATTACTCAATCACTCATTGGAACTACAAGATAGTTAGTGGCATTTATGCCTGCTGCCTGGTAATATCTGAGTCACAGCTCATCAGCTGTGCTTATTCATAATAAGCCATAGGCACAAACTCAGGGAGTTGTACACATGGGCACTTATATCAATATATATACTCATACACAGCTTGGACCACACTGTGATAATATGTATAACACAAAACACCTTATGTCAAGAAATACTATCATTTAAACAGAGGACTTATTTTTGTGTGCGTGATTTTTGTAAATACAAGTTTAAGAGTGGGTTAAATAATCAGTAAAAACAATAACCCACAAAGATAGGAGGGTGTTAATGTGGTTTTCTAGGCAAGACTTTGGGAATTTTACAAGATGGGAGCTGTGACTAGATTTGGGAGAAACGTTGATTTACAGTTCAAAACACAGGACACTGATTAGAATTTGGAAATGTGTCACCTGTGAAGCCAAAGGACTCAGGATAAGTCACTGGAGAAGGCCAGGCTTTAAGTTGATCACTGGGTAGGTAGCAGAGTCCTTTTCTGGAGGAGCCAGAATGTGAATTCCCAGTTCAGCCATGGTAAGTATTGAGTCCCGCTCTAGTTTCAGCCCACACCACTGTTGGTTTCATTCCCTTCAAACTGGTGACAGAGATCTCCTTCATAGGCTTCACCTGTCATGGTCCTTCTCCCACTCTGAGACTCTGATTGGGTGTTTAGTTTTCTGAATTACCCTTTCCTAAATTCTTTACATGTTTGTCTTTTTGTGACTGGATTACCTCACTCAGGATGGTTTCTTCTAGTGCCATCCATTTGCCTGCAAATTTCAAGATTCTATTATCTCTTTTTCTGCTGAATAGTACTCCATTGTATAAATGTACCACGTTTTCTCTATCCACTCTTCAGTTGAGGGGCATCTAGGTTGCTTTCAGGTTCTGGCTATTACAAGTAATGCTGCTATGAACATAGCGGAACAGACATCCTTGTTGTATGAATGTGCATCTTTTGGATATATGCCTAAGAGTGGAATTGCTGGGTCTTGTGGTAGGCTGATTCCCATTTTCCCAAGGAATCTCTATACTGATTTCCAAAGTGGCTGTATGAGTTGGCACTCCCACCAGCAGTGGAGGAGTGTTCCCCTTTCTCCACATCCCCTCCAGCATAAGCTGTCACTGGTGTTTTTGATTTTAGCCGTTCTGACAGGAGTAAGATGGAATCTCAGAGATTAAATGGTGTTGCCCTTTTAAGTTGTCACTCAGTGCCATCTGTCATTAGGGGCCTTCCTTGACCACTCACCTAATGAAATATCTTCCTGTCTGCAACCATACTTGTCATTCTGTCATCATCAACCCCATTCATACATTTAACGCTTCTCACTCATTTTCAAGAACAAGGAGAACAGGGAATTGTCAACCCTGGTTTTGTCATGTTTTACTTATTGCTATGTTTCCAATCCCACCCACTGCCTTTCCTATGTAAGATGTGTGACCCATAAATGCTGAGGCGTCCTCATAGAACATCTGCCCTGCAAAGCTGACTTTAGGATCTAAAGATGATGGAAGAGTCTCATGGTCCTCGAAACAAGCTCTTTTCATGTCATTGCCATATTCACCACGTGAAGCCTCTTTACTACTTCTTACTATAAAAAAACAAAACAAAACAAAAACCACAGAGCTCTACATTTAAAGTGTGCCACACAAGAACATTGCTCAATGTGTCACTGTAACAAGAGATTTTAAAATAAAAAAAGAGGTGATGGTATTACAAAATATAAACATCTTTGAACAAAAAGATTAGCAAATTCTAACTAGATATATTCATTTACATTCCAGGAGTTTGCGTTTTTAATTAACCCCAAGTGTTTGGTGTTTAATTTTAATGTTTTTGAATTAGAACTTTCATTTTGAGAATGTAAACATGTACATAGAAATTGCATCATTTCCACTTCTTCCAGCTGTCTCCAAACTGCACAACACATGTTCTCCTCCCAATATATGTGTGTGTGTGTATATATATATATATATATATGACCTACTGAGTCTTACTGTGTGTACATGAATATGGAACAATACACTAGAGTCCTGGAAACCTATTGGTAGCTGCAGCCTCAGAAAGGAATGATTCATACCCTAGTAAGAATGCACTGGTAATTGGTCCTCAATGGGGTTGTGGCATGGAATCTCCTCCATCAATGTTGAGATCTCCACTAGCTTGAACTTGTGTGGGTCTTGTGCAGTAATCATGGCTACTTTGATCTCTAGGAGCACAACAGCCATATGTTGTGCAGAAAACATTTCAGAATTTGGCACTCCATTCTTAACTCTTACTTGTTTTAGTCTCCTCTCTGTTTTTTCTGAGTCAGGTGACAGCAGATGGTTGATAAAAATGATTCATTCAGGACTGAACAATCACTCTCTTTCTGACTTCAGTTTCCAACACCTATGTGTGTGTCAGGGTGCTCACAACTGCAAATATCCCTCTTCTGGTTCCCATGAATGTGCACGTCCACGTGTGTGTGTGTGTGTGTGTGTGTGCATGCAGACACAGACACACACACACACAGACACACACACACCACAGACTCACAGATATGCACATAAAAATCCATTAAGGATATACATGTTAACAGTTTTGAATTCTACTTGCCTTTCTGCTTCAGATTATATTTATGTTAGTTGTATACATTAAAGAAGCAAGATTTCCTTCTGTTTCACTTAAATATAATTATCCATGTGCAGCACAGACTCACTCTGGACTGTAGGAACAGATGGATCACAGCCTTCAGTGTGTGGAGTTTCCAAATAGCATTTAGTTTGGTGACTTAAATCACTTAATGTTTTATTATTTGCTTGCTGAGTTAATTATCCCTTCTTTCAAATTAGCCACATGTAATCAGAGTCAGGAAATTCAGACTCAAGATCTATTGCAAAGGCTCTTGTGATATTTGTAAAAACAGGAAGGAAAGTAGTAGCTTCATTTCAATCATGTCCCCTATAGGGAAGCTGAAGTATAAAATATATAAGAAAAATTCATTTTGAAATTAATGGATATGTCTGCTTCAGCATGACTTGCACCTGGGACCTGAGGTTCCTGGGGCTTGTACCTGGGAGCAGATGGTTCCTGGGGACCTACAGAATTTTAACACAAGTAGAATTCATGGGGTGCAACTCTGTTTTCAGACATGAATTTCTTTAAGCTTTGAGATGGAGAATTTTTAAAAAGAATAGTGTGTAGTCTGACTATTTTAACAGAAAAGGGTGGAGATCAGAGCTTCCTATAATAACATAGCCAGAAACTTCAGAACAGCATTGGCAGAAGGACGATAGGCAATCTGGGACATCTGCACTGGAGCATTTAGTCACTATTTATAACCAGGCATCCTTCCAGGCCCTGCAAGGATATATGAGATTGATGTAGACTTTACAAGTTGAGCAAAACTGAAGAACAGAAATTCTGACCATAAACACATACCAGATGTTTGATAAATGAACTAAAAAGACATATACCAACAGTAAGTCTACTGTTGAGTATCGATAGATATATGCTGTTCTAAACCTGACCTAATATATCATAAAAAGAAATTTCAGAAGGATCAGACTGGATTGCCTGTAATCAACACTCCTACTGAACACATCAATTCATGCAATACCAAAGAGATAGGAGGATGTTCTCAGCAGTGTGGTATTCCTAATGTCTAACTACAAAATGATCTTGGATATTATCTAGCATGCAATCAGTTTATAAGAAGATAATTAATTATCAGGAAAATATAGCTACAGGCCATATTGGAGTAATAGTTAATTTAAATAATTTCAGAGATTTAAGAAGCAGACAATGATTTCAATATAGCAGCACTAAGAAAAAATTGGAAAAGTTTACAAATTCAATTTTTAAAATTATTTCACACATATAAATATTAGAAAGAACTGAGAAAGTATGCTAGCAACTTCCATTCTATAATTTCATGAACATTCAGAAATAATATAAAAGATGACAATGGCTTAAAAACAGGGAAAGCAGCAGAATTCATGACCTGGAGCACCACTTATAAGGTCAATGTGTGTTTTACAAAATTACCAAGATGATTAATGAAGACAGAATTGGGGGCAAATGGCTATTCTTACGGAGTAGAAGACAACTAAGAACAGTAGGGAAGAAGAATAAGATGAAAACTAAGATTGATCTTCTAAATGTGAAATGTAGGATTAAAAGGCTTTCTTGGAATGAATGTTAGGATAGACAGAGAGAGACAGACAGAAAGATAGAGAGAAGACAGACAGATGGGACAGATAGAGACAAGCAGAGTTTGTCCTAAGTTTAAAACCATTTATCAAAAACATTAATTCAGATTTAACTATGAAAGACATTCTGGGAAAATGTGTCCAAAACATTTATATAACGAAACCGTTATATAAATACAAATGAAACTAAACAATCCAGCAAAAAAAAGTAGTCACAAGACAATCAGATGCCTACTGAAAGATAGGGGACACAGGCTAAGAAAAATTATCTGTATATTAAGTAAGTGGAAATTTTGAATCATTATGAGCAATTAGAAAATATAGCACCAAAAAGACACAAAATCAGTTAATAATGGCCAAGAATGTGGTTCAGTGGAAAGTCTCGCAATCCCCATGGAAAAATGTGAAACTGTACAGGCACCTCTGGACACAGACTCCTCTCTTCCACGTATACACAAGTGGCCAAATCTACCACAGACAGTAGATTTATCTACAGAGGAAGAAAATACAACCATTAAAAAGCTTCCATGTGTGTATTCCTGGGACATTGATTTATAATGCCTCTAAAAAAGGAAATAACTCATATGGCCACCAAAGAAAAGATTATGTAAGGAAATTGTACTGTATTCATACAAGAGAATAATAGGCACTAATTATAGAGAATGGACTATTGACACATTCAACAATACAGATAATTTCTAAATCATTTTTGAGTGGAAGTAGACATAAATAAAGGTTTATATTAATCCAGAGTGAAAGAAATCAACCCTGTGCTTGCCTCTGGCAACCTGGAAGAAATTGTTTTGTGCATTGACAGGAGTGCAGTTGCTAGCTGAAAAATTCATTTGTCAGAATTCATTGAACTGATTCTCTGCATTTTCTTTTATGCAAATTCTGCTTCCCAAGAGGCAGCATGGGAGAAAGGCACTGCTCAGTGTTAGAGAAGAAAGGTAACCAGAACAGCACATCCCAGGGTCTTTAATATTGGTGGGGAAAACAGTGACAAACAGAAGAGTCTAGGCATGTCATAAAAGTAATTTGGACATGTCAATGTTTTCATCAGTAGGTGACAGGGACCTCTGCCTCTCCAATCATCTACTATTTCTCGTGCTCTTCTTGGAAATTTTGGCTAATTTAAGACAAGATGGATTATTGTTTGGGTGAGGCACAGGTCAAAGGGAGACACAGAAATGGTCATATAACAGATGTCCTCTTGGTGTACTGTGCTCTGAATGAGTTCATTGGGCTGAGAGCATCGTGATAAACGACCCAGAATTTAGTTTTTTTTTTTTGTGTGGAGTATGTAAGAAAGTGGTATCAGGGATGCGTTCACTCCCAATTCCACTGAACTCTGTCACCCACGGATAAGCAAGATCTTTGTGAAGTTAGGCAAAAAGCTAACTGTGGTGGAAATTTGACTAACTTGGAACTCTGGTGGAACCACTCTGAGAAGATAAATTATGTCTTTCCTTCACTGACCCACTTGTTTCTCTGCTGACTTATTGTAAAGGAAGGACAGGAAAACAAGACTGGTCCCCTCAGATTGAATTACAAGACACGTGTGGTCGCCCAGGAGGAGACAGATGTTTTGCCCACAAAATGAAATATTTTTAAAGCAACAATGATAAGAGGGTAGAAAAACAATGTTAATGATATGAACTGAAGGTGTTTTTGTTTGTTTGTTTATTTCAGCAAAGATACAGTGGCAGAAAATAAGATGATAGAATAAATTATCAGACTCCTCTATGATAAAGAACCAGTTTTCCAACATAAACCAAAACACAATTCAAAAAAAACACAGCAAGGTTTTGTTCTGTGCATTTACATTTACAACAATGTTCAAAAAATAATTTCCAATCTCTCTTTTCAGACTTTCTGGGGAGAAGAGAAGATATCTGTGGTTTTATCGTTTCTACTGTGATAATGAAAACTCCTCCCTTCCTCTGGTTTTGGGTAGCGCCCCAGGATGGGATGAAGGGACAGTTTCTGAAATGCATGCCATCTTAAGAAGATGGACATTTTCTCACCCGTTGGAAGCGCTTGGTCTTTTGACTTCCAGGTAAGACTTAACAGAACAAAGTACACATTGATATGTGTTAGGGAGCTCTGAAGAATAAAACTATGCAATTAGTTACACAGCTATTCTGTTCCTAATTTCAGTATATATGGACATTAATTTCAGATCAATGCAAGCTGTGCCCACAAATTTCAAGCACTTTAAGCTTTAATTGTGTCTTCACACTAAAGATAAAGCCCAATTAATGGCTATAGTTTCTTAAGCGAGGAATCCAGTTTCTCTTAAAGGAAAACAGTTGGGGAAGCTGAGGCAGGAGAATTGCTGTCAATTCAGTGCCAGCCTGGCATGCACAATGAGGTTCTATATCATAAAGAAAATGCCTGCACCACAGTCTTACCATCTACTGCTCACTAAAACATAAAAAGAGACAAAGCTCGATTGTCACTTGGCAAAATTCTAGTCACTTTTTGCTCATGACTTAAAAACAATAGCACAATTATTCCCCATCATCTCCAAATTGACTAATCAATGGAAAATTGGTTCAAAGTCTGACAACAACAACAACTGACAGAGAAGAAGAAAACATTGGTGCATCTTCTATTTAGTAAGGTAATTGTATGCAGAATATATGCAGGCTAGAAGTAGACAACAGAAAGATAAGTGACCCACTTAGTGGCAGATCTGACAAAAATGCTTCTTCAAGAAAACTATACAAATATTCAACAAGTACATGAAAAGACACTTAATTTGGTATTATTGACTATTGGGAAAACACACAAAGGAAACCAGGAAATCACAGGTGCTTCTGTCACCAGAACTGACAATAATCAAATAGTATAACGCATCAGCGAGGATGTAGAGAAATCAGAAGCTCCTTGTCAAGGGGGAGATGTAAAACAGGTGTAGACATAGGGGAATCCAGCTTGGCAGTTCTTTACATGTTAAATCCCGAAGTACAGTATAACCAAGTTATTCGACTCTTAATTTTATACCAAAGACTAGCAAAACTTATGCCCACTCAAAACCCATACATAACAATTGAAAGCATCATTGACCACAAAATACACAAAAATATACAAGAGACCCGAATGCCTGCCAACAAATAAATGAAAGGTGCTTTGTGTAATGTCATAAGAAAGGAATAGTACTGATATATGGGACAACTTGGGCAACTTTGAAAACAATATACTAAGTCAAAGAAGCCACCAACCAAAGATCATGTGTTATGTGCTCACGTTTTCATGAGCTATGCAGAATGAACAAAGCTAAAGAAGAAGCCACCAACCAAAGATCATGTGTTATGTGCTCACGTTTTCATGCGCTATGCAGAATGAACAAAGCTAAAGAAGAAAGAAGCCCATCAGTGGTGATGTAGAGTCAGGGCAGGTTAGAGGGGATGGCTATGAGGAGGTGTGTGTGTGTGTGTGTGCGCGTGTGTGTGTGTGTGTGTCTGTGTGTGTGCGTGTGTGTGTGTCTGTGTGTGTGTGTCTGTGTGTTACTACACAAATTAATTTATATTTAAATTACACTTTGAAAAACACAGTTTCTTAGACCAGCAGGATGGCTCTGTGTATAAAAATGCTTGCCACCAAATCTGATAATCTGAATTTGATATCTGGAAACCATGTAAAGGGGGTAGAAGAGAGTTGACTCCTGAAAGTTGTCACCTGACCTCCATATGCATGAGGTAACACTTGACACATAGTCCACACCACACACACACACACACACACACACACACGCACAAACACACACTCACATTTTAAAAAATTAAAGGAAAAGCACTTCTTTGAACTTTCAACAATATATAATAGGTGTCCTGGCACTAGCCCTTAATCCTAGCCCGTGGGAATCTGAAGCAGGTGGATTACCATCTGTGAAAGTCTAGCCTGAAGAGCACTCAGCCAGCCTTAACTACATAGAAACACTCTGTTAAAAATATTTAACCGGAAATACTATGGAAGATTTTAAGGTTTGACTTTTGGGACAACTTTCTAAGTCTTCCAAACAGGCTGGCTTCATTAAGAGTCAGTTTAGCTTACATGCCATCTAATGACTTTAATGTCACTGCTTTTCAAAAAGTGCATGAGTTATTCTTCTAGATATCTTTCCAGAAAAATAAATGTAGTAATTCTGCTTACCGGCTTTAAAAAAATGAGATAATTTACTGGATCGATTTCTATATTCTCTGATCCCTAAAAATTAATCCTATATCTTCTCTACCTAAACAGATCTTGAAAATCTATTTGACTCAAATTTTCAGTGTGTGGGCCAAATTTTTAAATTAGTAGCCCTTAGTATTATCTCCTTCGATGCCCACAATAAGCCTAAGAAGTAAACATTATTGTTTTCCTAATTTTGCATACATGAACACTGAGGTTCGTAGAGAGTGTCACTCTATGGCATAGCACACTGAAAGGCCCCAACTCACTCAGCTCTACATCCTCCTTCATGCATTGGTGGCCTTCCTGTTGGATAACCCCAGCAAAAAACAACTTAGTTTGAGAAGGATTATTTTGGTTGACAGTTACAGAGCAATAGAATAGTAATGGGAGGGGAAGGCTTGGCCTGAAGGAACTTGAGTCTGATCTGGCAATTAAGAAACAGAGAGAGAACAGGAAGTAGGGACAAGCTTCAAAGACTAGAGTCCTGCCTACAGTGATGCACTTCCTTTGCCTAGGCTCTGCAACTCCCAAACAGCACCACAGGCTGACAGCCAGTGTTCAAGCACATCAGCTTAGCTAGTTAAAAGCCTACACTGACAAACAATGAGGCGGAGCTGGGGAGTCTTGTGGAGGATGAGGAGGATGGACTGGAGGAACCAGAGGAGTCAAGGGCACCACAGGAGTACCACCCACAGAATCAACTGACCAGAACTCAAGAGGGCTCACAGAGATCAGGGACCTGCATGCTTCATCTGCATATATGTTATGGCTGAGCAGTTTGGTGTTCTTGTGGGATCCCTAACAGTGGAAGCTGGGATGTCTCTGACTCTTTTGCCTGCTTTGGTGTCCTTTTCATCCAGACTTGAAGTGATAATATATAAGTGCCCGTTCCTATTGTAGCTTGTTCTGCTGAGTTTGGTTGATGTTCTTGGAATGTCTGCTCCTTTTTGAGGGAAGCTGGTGGATCTGGAAGAAAAGGGAGGTGGGGAAGGGATGGGGGAAGGGAGGGGAAGCTGCTGTTGGGATGTAATATATGAGACAAGAATGAATTAAAAGCAAATAATCCAACAGATAAATAAATTTAAAAATCTAAAGTAATTGTTTTTTGAGACAGTGGTTTCTCTGTATACTTTTGGAGACTCTTCCTGGAACTTTCTCTGCAGACCAGGCTGGCCTCGAACTCACAGAGATCCAGCTGCCTCTCCCTCACAAGTGCTGGGATTAAAGGCGTGTGCCACCAATGCCCAGCTGTGATCTTATTTTTTTTAAAAAGCCTGTACTGCTCTTACAGAATACCTGGCTTTGGTCCCCAGGCTCACTACCACCTGTTTCTCTGGTGCCACTGGATCTGAGGAAATCTATGGGGATCATTTAATATTCAGATCACAATATTGCTTAAACACTCTGGCCTTTTTTCCCCTTAGTTGTGAACAGCAAGGGCTATATTATCGCACCTAAATGATTTCCGTTCACTCAGCAGTGTTCTCCGGAATCATCAGAGATGAGCAGGACACTGTCAAAGCAGAGACCTGCTTATTAAGCTGCATTCTGGGGCCCTGCGGGACCTTGCTCTGATTGCAGACTTTGCAGCCTCTTATCAGGCCCTAGATAAGGTCACTGGCAAGGTTGGAGAGTTTCCATTGTGAGCGTCCCGTGACTCCCACTCTCGGTCTAACTGAACTGTTGAAACTCTTGAGGACAAGCTGTTTCCAGGGATGAGCCTTTCCGGGAGTCTAAATTCAAAAGCGCAGTTTTCTGGGAACAGTGTGTGCTCATTACGTGAGTCGTCAAACAGCCAGTTCTTTGCAGCCCTTGCCCTTCTCTGAAGAGTCCATTGTGGCGGTGGCTTAACCTCTTGAGAACTGGTTGGCTCTAGCTTGAGTTTGGAAGGTCTTTAATACGGCCGTTTACTTCGCCGTGCCCGAAGACTCTCCCCATCATTTGTGTTTATTCTAAACAAGGGGCATGCTGATGCTTAATACACCTAGAATGGGTCACGGGGTGTTCACATTTCCACCACTGAGTGACAGCAGAGTGCTTGTTGGGCACTGGTCCTTCCATTAGAGAAGGTGTAACAGCTAAGACCCGGGCTAAGGCTAGGGGCTCTGAGAGAATGGCTGCGGTTTCCCTGAACCCTGCTCAGTGGTTAATAGCCAATAAGTTACAGAAGCAACAAAGGTAGTTTTTAAAGAACAGATTTTTTAAAAAAAAAGAAATTCAGAGAACTACAATAGAATGAAATAAAAGTCTGACAGGGCACCAAATCTGGCTCCCCTCGCACGATGTAATATCATTGTTTCTCAGGAAGAAAAGCAATATTAAATAAACCATACCTTATCTTTCAAATAAATTCCCTTGGGAAGGACTTCACTAAAGTACTTGCAACAAGCCACTCTCTTGTTTATTGTACAGATAAATTTCTACTAGAGTCAGTCTTGACTAGCATTGTAAGTAGGAAGAATGGAATTCACAACCGTGAAACAATTAAAACTTCCATTTTTTCAGATGCCTAATTAAGCGATGGGTTGTGGTGTTGCTTTTCCATTTATGGAACAAACATATGTGCTATGCACTTAATAAAAGAGGAAAAATAAGCCACGGTGACTGTTGCTAAGAAGAACACATAGTTTTCAAGGAAAAGTTAGCACCAAAGGCCCACAGGAAACGTTCTGTTAGACTTTAACTAAAGTGAGTTGTGAGTTCTCAATGAAGCCGAAGGAGGGACAAATCATGCCACAGAAAGCAAGGCAATGGTCTCAGTGAAACTGAGTCCTCACTCCAAGTCTTGCAAAGATTTCTTCAAGAATGGTAGCATGTGCACAGCTATGGGGGTTCAGAGGGGAGTGAATACTTTATCTTAATAGAGTTTGCATAGAA